CGAGCCCATACTCATGATTAGATCGTAGTGTGAGGTGAGGCCTTCTTAAACTCCAGTTAGAATTCCACTTGCAACTTGGCGGTATTTAGGTAGAATGTGCAAGGTGTAACCTGGGAATTGGTAGTACTTCAGTTTGTCATCCGAAATGTTTGCTTCCATAATTGGGAAAATGTCTACATCATAGGTTTGTAGGATTTTCTGGACTTGGGTCTTCTTGTCCGGTGACATCCCTCCAGCATTCCACTGGAGGATCTGAAGACGTTGTGATTCGCCCTGACCAGGGCGATTTTTCTTTTAGCCATTTTTAAAGCTAATCATAATAAATAGAAGTCAAAATGCCGAGTGATAGACTTTTTGCCGTTAGAAAATACGTTGTCCAGGGTGCACCACGTGGAGGTAAGTCTCTCGCGCACCCCAAAAAAAGTCAGCAACACCGGATATTCCCAGCCGGTCACCCATGCAAGTACTAACCCGGCCCGACGTAGTTTAACTTCGGTGATCGGACGAGAACCGGTGCTTTCTACGTGGTATGGTAGTGAAAGTGGGGTTGTACTAATTCATTACCTTATTGAAAACTTTTGAAAGCATACCAAAGCAAAACCTCACAACGAAGACCTGCATGCTTACTCGAATGCAATCATCCGTTATTTTGCCTCTCTCCACAACCACCAACCTCCAACCCCTAACCCCCCCCCCCACTTACCATCACCACCCCTTGTGATCTGTTTCAGACTATCTTGCCGGTGAAGAATTAAGACATTAGATATTCATTGAATACTATTTTTAAGCTAACTTTTCCTCCAATTTTAACTATTTCAGATCAATTTATATAATTTACATGTCGAAAAAAGCATCTTATTAGAAAAAGATTCAAAAGTCGGAATTGGAAATATTTAAGTGCTATTTGCCATAGTCAATGGTCTTTTTCAAAGACAGGAGCTAACAAAGTTTGAAAATAGTGCCATAATCAAAATTATTTTCGAAGAAATTTATCACTTTCGCCTTGAATCCTTGTCGTCATATGGTTAAGAGATCTCAAAAATCTAGATGAGGACATTCATAATTCTCAAGGAAAATAGATTTTTGGACAAAGAAAATGCAACTGAGACAACGAGGAAAACGAAATTCAATTACGAAATCCCTCACATTATATTGCTTTAATGAAATAAAATTCTACTATTCTCTACAAGGACTATAAGTACATTGATTCTTCCACGGCGTTGCACCACACTCTGAAACGAATCATTTCAAAACATTTCTGCCACATTTACGTCACACCACGTCAAATTTCACAAAATATGTGTTAAACCGAGGTGCTCACGCCATTGGAGGCAAATATAATGCCCCCTGAATAGGTGCCAACTTTTACTCGATCAAGCCCAGGCAAACCTTCAAACTCAACACACTCACTAAACGATGTCGAAATCATCCAGCAAACCGTATTCTCTTTATGATCAGTCCAAACCTCTTTCGTCCACATATGTTAAGCGCGCAGAAAAGGAGCTAGGAGAAAAATCCGAACAGATTTCTGCGCACATTGAATCCCTCAGAAGATGGCTCAAATCAATGCCTCATCTGAAATGCAATGCTAGTAAGTTAATTGGAATCCTTAATTGGTCATACAGCCATAAATAATTAATATGATTAATTATTGATTAGAATTAGAAACTTGTCTCAATTTATTTTTAGACCTGAACCGATTAGTAGTTTTACATGAGCATGAAATTTCCTTTAATTTGTTCAAATTTATGCTCAAAAAACATCTTAATTCGCATGAAAACACCAGCATTTCTCAATGGTATGCTGAATGCAGTACTTATTTTAAGACTAAGTTTATATATGACCATTTTGTTCGAATAGGGTTCTATTTTAAATCAATCCAATGACATATAAATAGGCGGAGGTTGGGGGTATTCAAAATCTCATTTCTTGAAAGGAATAAGGTGCCAATACACGAAAACTTTGCTCATTTGTACATTGTTCTTCTGTATAATTCTCCAAAGGCTTTCCTAAAATATCCTAAATGGTTATGCTAAAATAGCCTAATGTTTGACACTTTACGTAAACGAACCAGATTTTTTGCTTTTTAATTCCCAATGAATATTTTCGGCTTGGTATTGGGCCTGATTTTTACGTTTCGATTATTGTTTGTCCAAATGTTAAATGTTCAACTTAAGGAGACAACACTTACTACTCTGTTGCACCTGTTTGGCTTGACGTTTTGAGGTCATAATTCAGGTACCATCACAAGGATGGTTGCCTTTCTTTAATTTTAAAAGACCTATAAAGTCAATTCAAAGCATCCGGGTTGATGGCTTATTTAAAAATCTCTCTGTGGGCAATATCTTTAATAACAGGTTTCCGAGATTAAAAAATTAAGTATCTAGCACAACATTTTGAAGAAAGACATCTCCTCCCAATTTCAATTGAGAAAATTGACAAACGTTTCAGATTAGAAGGGCAAAAAACAGAAATGAATTCGTTAAAATTGTTGGACGATAATGATTCTGACTATTAACAGCTTCAAGACAGTTTTAGTATCAATTCACGTGCATATATACGCTCATTGTTATGGCTAAATTAAGTGCTTTCGTGTTTTCAATGTATTATTATTAAAACGTATTTTGTACTATTCTCACTCAGATATTTTAAATGAGAAGACGTTTTTGTTGCTTTATTCATCAATTCAAATTACCTTGCTATTATTTGAATGTAGTTTTCAATTTTTCTTTCATTGAGCATACTTTTCCTTGGTGTATGTGCATTTTCCGATCTTCTGCCTTTCAGGCGATGAGTTACTCTTGGCCTTCTTACGTCAGGCCAAGTACAACCACATGAAGGCACAAAATCGCTTGGACAAGTTCTGCACTTTCAGAACTTCTCCAACAGAAGGTTCTCCGGCTTGGTTTGAAAACTTTAAAGACAGGAAAGCCACTTATGATAAACTGGTCAACACAAAGTAAATAACATTAAAATAAAATTCCCATTATATTTTTAAAAATATAGCAAAATACTGTTTGTAAAATGATTTTCAACACTAATTTTACTTTTGGCATTTATTTCGATTTATATATTTATTTAATATCTCTCTGAGATTAATTTTGAACTTTTAAAAGCTTTTTTTAATTTTCCTCTCTAGGTGTTGGGCAACGCTTGGTTTTACGCAAGAAGGTACAGTCTCAATAATGGTCAAGTGCAGTAAGTTTCAGATTTTTTCTCTTCTTCCCAATAAAATAATAAGAAAGGCCAATCATTTAAATGGCATATTTATATCTTCTAGAAAATCTTGACTTGAATGTGGTATCGATGGACGATCTTCAAAGTGCCGTTCAGATCTGGTACGATGAGGCCATTCTTGATCAACGAATACAAATCGGAGGTTTCAGTATGATAATGGATCTCTCTGACTTTCGTAAGGAGGATATAATAAAGATGTTTGACCCAAAAGCAAGTAGGCTTGCCACAAAGTATTTCCAAGTAAGATTTTCAAAAGTGATATTTATTATTTACAATGGTGAATATCTCAAGGCTACAAAAGGCTTAATGGGGAACCCCAATAAAGATTTAAATGCATTTTTTATTGAAGTCTCTTAGTTTAAGAGGTTCTTAATTTAAACCCATAATCGGTGTTTCATTTCAGGTACTTTAGCGACATTCATATCAGAAATCTTTTATACATGTCTATCACACTGCCTGTATCTTTATATATGAACCCGAGGTCGATTAATGGACGCATTTCAGGGAATGAAATTGAATTCAAATGCACTATGAACGGAACTCTGTAGATGCCATAAGTCCGCTCTGAATTTCTCAAACAACTTCGATTACTGGAGTAAATAGGTATTTTCGGTACGCCAAGTGGTGTAAATGAAAATAGCCAAAGTAGGGATTTTTAGTATACATATAGACAAAATATGATCCAATTATTTAAATGTCTCTTTTCGTTAATAATAATGTTTCATATATGAACCTGAGTGTAATCATTCGCACTAGATGAATAAAACTTCACAGATGATTATTTAATAAATTATACAACTCATCAAAACGCAGCAAGGTATTTTGGTGGCATCATTTATTGATAAATCTTAGTTCAGTATTTTGTCCTTTAGCAGCCATAGACATAAAAATGGCTCTGAATTTTTCAAACAGGTTTTTTAATAATCCAAGTGGTATAAATGGAAATAGCCAAAGTAAGGATTTTTAGTATTTATTTACTTATGCTAAATAGGAGGCGTTTTGATGATTACATTAGCCCTTCAGTTGATTTCAGGATTCGCAGAAAGTAGGAACAACAAAGTAAAATAAGTCGAGAGGGAGGAACAGAAGAGTTACTCAAAGTTGTTAAAGAGACGGCCACAGAGGTTGAAAAAAAGTCAGCTGAGTACTGTGGAAGTAGTCGAATATAGCATACAGTGGGATGATGGAAGTTTGAGGTCAGAAGTCAACTACCGGTAAATAGACTTTATTGCTGTATGAGTATACGTTGTCCAGGGTGCACCACGTAGAGGTAAGTCTACCTCACATCCCTCTCTGATCATATAGATAGATCTTTAATCAAAGGCTGTTATTAAGTGTCAATACGAACCTGTATGTAATCATTCGCACCAGATTAACAAAACCTCCACAGATCATAATTTAATAAATCACACAACTCATCGGAACACAGCAAATATTTATAGTGGCAGCATTCATTTATAAATCTTAGTTTAGTATCGAATCCTTTAGCTGAATTTTGCTAATATTGATTGCCAAAAGTTAGCTAATAGTTAAAAATGGATCGACAGGACTTTTGACACCGCAATCATAGATGCAAAAAAATTGCGAGAAACCAATGATATGGGGAATTAGAGATAGTGACTATGTTGTGAATGACTGGCATAAAACTGCCCACATTTAACAGCATGCAATAACAAAACCCAAAATAATAAATGAAATTCCAAGGCAATTTGGTGACTCACGAAAGTCCCCAACGTATCTTTCAAAGGCTTAAAACTGTGTCAAATTTTGAAGGCATGCCAATTAGACTCTAAATTGATGGCGATAAGTCCATCATACTGAAGTCACTTTGACTCAACGAAGATTTTCCCGCGACCAGAACCCATTTGGGATCACGATGAATGCGAATACCATGCTTCGCTCTTGCTATCTAAGCAAGAATGCGTTGTGTATTCCATTATGCTATATATTTTAAAAATGTGTCTGTTTTCCAGAAGTCATATTAGCAGCTTTACTCTGTCCTGATCAAAAAGTACAAATCTCCATTAACTGGATTCCCTGTTTGATCATCGGACCCTTTGATTTCTGCCCTTCATTAGCTATATCTTGGAAATAATTAGAGTAAGTCCCATCTCAAAAACTTTCCAAGAAGTCGTCCTACAACTGAATCCATATGTCTATGAGTCGATTAACTTTCTTACTTAAGTAGTGATGAAATCTACAGTTTAGTTCTGCTTTGCACCTCAGCAACAGTAACTTTATCTCTGCGGACTTACACTCTTACAGTTTATATAATTGATTGGTAAGTTAAGTAGTTGGACATTCCTTTTAAAGTTGGGGCGGAATAAATATGACAGCTCGGATATAGAATTGCATCTTCTTTGTTTATTTTTATCTTTCTAGGACTGTCTTCCATTCAGGATAAAGAAAATTATCTACTACAATACACCAAAAATTTTCGAAGCCATGTTTAAAATAATGTCTGAATGGCTGAATGAAAAAATTAAATCACGAGTAAGTCTGTTCTCCTGTACCTAATGAGAATGTCAATGTGAATATCATTAAATCGGTTGGTTGTTTTAATAGATAATGATGGTGGGCACCGATATGAATCGAGCTTTTGATGCCCTTCCTGGCTTAAAGGACTTGATGCCAGAATCCTACGGTGGCAACGTGAAAATGACATTCGAGGAAATGTGTGGTATCATCTTTTAAACAGTGTTTCGTATTTTAATGATACAATGTAATCCATACTTTACAATTGGGCCCTTCATGAGAGATAACCGCCAAGCAGTATCTTGACACTAAGGAGGGGTAAATCTATTCCAATCTTTAGCTGAAGAAGTATATCATCAGAATAGTTTGCCAGTGTATGGTTCTGCAAGTTCTTCGTTTGCGAGATATGCAATTATTAGAATTCTCAGTGCGAGACTCAAAGGGGCCCTGTAACTACATGAACAAATCTTTCATTTAAAAGGAATTAGATTCAAGTAACGAAAATTATGTAGGTGATTGCTTTCAAGATCTGAGAAGGTAGTAAAGGCGTGAGTTTTCATTTTATACAAACGGTTTCTACCCTGGTTTCACATGGTCTCTTCTGGGCAAAGAAAAGGTCAATTCTTCTAGCAAAACATGCACCCATTCTGAAAGTCTTTACAGTCTGTTGTTCCAGATAAGCTTATTTTAGTCTACTTGAGGCATATTTGCTCTGAGCATTCAATGCTGAGTGTAAGCATAAATATGCTTGGCAGGAAATCGACAATGTATCAGTTATCTTGAAGCCTATTTGTGAATATTTTCACTCTTCACCCGATCAAATACCACACTTTCTATACCCAGAGTATGTTATGATCTACTATAAGCAATACAATTTGGTCAAGGAAGAACAGTAGAAAACAAGGTTACTTAAAAGAAAATCTCATGATTACCTCCAATTTGGTCGATTGATGAGAATACTTCGAATGAGACTGGGTTATTATAACTGCTCTTTTGAATGACTTATTTCTTCGTTTATAATTTACCCCATGTTCCCCATTTCAGAGAAGCAGTCGGCACTAATGAAATCCATTCCTGACCATGGTACTGATTTTGCAATTTCAGTGGACGAGTCGCAGCGACCAAAGGAGTGCAGAAACCTCTTCGTTCATTACAAAGATCTCTCTGATGATCTCATGGGCAAATCCGGTTCATTACAAAGATCTCTCTGATGATCTCATGGGCAAATCCGGAACATATGTTAAATTAAATGATGAACTTTAGCCCAAGATGACATTGGGGGTGTACTTGTGTTTTGACCAACTGAATACACTGCATGATTAAACAAATATAAAGATTATAACGCCAAAATTTTCACATCTCATATTAAATTAACTCCAGATTAAAATTTTTCGATATAATCAAAGTTTGGTTTCGTATTTAATCTAAAATTCAAAGATCCGATCCACTACAAATAGTTTCCTCAAATACTTAAAATAAATGGAACATTTGCATTTGTGATAGACTCGAGGCAAGTCGATCATAGCACTTTGGAAAGGTGTTTGTAAAAACCAGAACTTTAAGCTTGACGACAGACGTTGCTTGGGGTGATCAAGTTTGGAAGAGACGTTCTGTTTAAGCCCCCACTCTTTCAGATTATCAAGGCAGTTTTAAGCGGGTTTTAGTAGGAAAAACTCAAAATGCGCAAAGCGAAGTAGAAATTGGAAGTGTAACGTATTACGAATTATGAATGAATGACTAAGATGACCAAAATGTTAGCTATATTAAATACTACTAAATATAATGACCGGTTCGGTGAGCGATTGCCCATGCCCGAGGAGATAGGCCAAGTTGCTTTGTTCGGATTCATTGTATCTGGACACAACATGTAGGTGACTGAATTAAAAAGAGGAATGTGTGGTTATATTTCCTTATATGGAGATATTTTTACTTATTACATTTTTTCTTTAAATCTGGTCTCAATTGCACATTTAGAAAATTCTTAAATACTAATTTTCAACCAAAACAATATATGGTGTAATAACCATTTACCGTGTTAGTATAATAGCAAATTAATAAGAGTAATTTCAACATGAATTTATTGGTCGACACTAACGTATTATTTGGGCACTATGTGGACCACGAATCAACTACGAGCTGTCAGTCATGTGTTTGTCAAGTTATCACTTGTATTTTTCGACACCTTTTCACTTCAGGTATTCTCATTACCAATCAACTTCACCTTCAATCGTAAGGTCTCATCTCACAACTCCTTTTCGGGCTAAGTAGATAGAAATGTGGGACACGTAATCGCTGTGTGGGTCATCGTATGCCTGCATGTCTGCTCGCCAGGATTGGGAGGTGCGACCGTACAAACAGTGACCAATCATCAACCTCTGTTTAACCTAATCCCCCATCCTGATCATGGATAGCTTCTTGCATTACACTTTATCCTCAATATACTCACCGAATAAACGTGCTCCTTTCCACACGCCTGTTTCTTTTATACCTGGGCTATGGCTTAACTAGTTCTGGGAGTCTAGCTAGATGTTGGAGAATCTGCCATAGAGATTTCTGAGTCGGTTAGGCTTTACTAAGGTAGCAATCTGTTACAGAGACAAAGTGGTTGACGAAGTAGCTGGCATTGTTAACAACTGCCCCCCCCCTCCCTTGGTCGTCATTTTATTTCTAAGGTCATTAAACTCTATGAACTGTCTCTAATAATGTAAATCAGGAATATCGACAGTGGTTCTGGGGTAGACAATCATACAAAAAAACTTACCAAAATAGGATCTACACATTTTTCCTAAAGGTTCATTTAAAACTCTCATCCCGGTTTACTTTTTGAGGTTTCCCGAAAGGCTTGACGTTGTAACATTCTGTTGTCCACTAGATTCTCCAATTCAAAAAAAACAAATTAGTTACTTTTACTAGACGTCATGATTAAAAACTCAATACAAGTGGAAGGAAAATGAACTCCGGATTTTGTAGGCCGAGAGAAGATTTTATGAACTTTAAATATTAAAACACACTGACTTGATAGTGGAAATATGCCTCATGATTAAAAATAGGCACCTTTGGTTAGACTTATCTTGAAGTTGCGCAAAGATTCAGAAGACCCTGGTAGAAGACCCACAGACTGTATCGTAATGTATTTGTCTATACTGGCAGGTAGTCGAATAGTGAGGAAGTCAATTGTAAAGGAATTCGGAATTCAAATTAGATTAGGTTATTGAATGATTCAACGCAATTCAGTTTCTCCTATTTTTCCTCTTCAACTTTTATTTGCTTACTTTTATGTTAAAATTGCATCGCAAGGTTGAAGCGATTTAAATACTCTAGTAATCTCTAGCTTTTAGGCACGTATTAAGAGGTTTCTTTAAAATTGCTTTTGACGAGTAAGATAATAGCACTAGATTAAGGTGGAGTTTGTATGGTTGCTGTAAGAAATCGTAAACTAATGGAGTATCTTCATACTGTTCGCGCCAAGGCATGCCAAGGGCTCTTGACGATTGAAATCAAACATATGTATTCAGTGTACCTCGTGAATGAAGAATAAACTGCCTCAACGCCTTATAGTATAAGGGCGTTCACTTAGCGCCTTTGAAGCACTTGACACATGTACCGCTATAAGGCTGAGGAGCATGTCAATACCTAATGGCAAACCGAACGCTCATATTGATTCAAAGTTTTGCTTTTGACCTTTAAATTTTCATCTAAGGAAGCTTTCATGACTTGTACGGGTAGACTATAGGCAATAAGTACATTTTGATACTTGTTATGGGAATCGGCTTTGCCTTTTCGCGATTTTTTCGTCAGCACTCTTTATCAAATATCTATAAACTGGATAACTATGATAAATGAGGTCACGTATATACATATTATAATATATTATCTTTTTATTTGAACGCCATAAATGCAAAGTATTACGAATAACAATATGCTGCGCATTCAATAATTCACAAAAAATGTTAAAATGTTCACTTCTCAAACAGTTTTGTCAAATTTTTGACAATTCATTTAGTGCTCTTTCTGTGATTAAATTATGAATTCTCGTTTTTATCTCCCAAATTGTATCTGGTTTGTAATAATACATATTATCCTTCATTTCAGAGTTCATAGTAGTAAACAATAAGATGGTGACTGCAATCCATCGGGCTGGGAGGGCACATTAAATGCCTGTTTTGTCAAGTGGATCGCACCAAAGTGTTCTCAGAGATTGTCTTTCATCAATAGCTCGTGTTTCGAGAGTTTACGTACTTGCTAAGGTGAAAACATACTCCATGAGAGAAAAAATAAAGATTTGGTGATGGATAAACAGTTGAGACATGAGTTAATAACCACTCCGTGAGTTTTAATGTCCGCAGCACCCTTCTTCAAACCATCTCGCGAACAACTTCCATATTTTCAGACGAATGAACCATTTGACATAAGAGACGGAATTTGCAGCTCTAAATTTCCTATTAGTTGTCTGAACAACAGGAGTAAATGACGGAAGATATCACTTCGAGGATGATGCAGGGTATTTGATCTCTGTAGTAGAAATGTATTTGAACGGCTAATAAAATACCTTCATTAAATCCGAAAGAAATTCACAGACTTCGTTCATTGAGGTCTGGATTATCGATTATTATCTTATCGATGCCTTGCCTGGGAATAAATTCCCTCCACTACTGTGTGCGTTGGTAATCAGAGGGCTAACTATTTTAACTTACTCCAAATATAGTCAAAATGGTCAGAACAGTCGACTCAATTGCTGCTTACTCAAAGTAATGTTTTTTCCCCATCTGGGCAACACTCGTCCGACTTTATCTTTGATAGGCAGCTAACAACACTGAAATTACAGCTGTGTATGTATATCTGGAAGGATGAAATACCTATTAGTTCCACCCCAAAGCTACAAAAGCACTTGACTCCATTTATTTCCCTTGAGATGGATGCAAAAAGGGCTTTTTTCACAAATTTATTTATTTATTTCAAATGGCAGGCGTTATGATAGGTATCATTAACCCTTTAGTTGACTTCAGGCTTCACAGAAAGGAAGATAAACAGTAAAGTGGCAAAACGTCGAGAGGAGGACAGAATAATGATTCACAGACGTAAAAGAGACAGACAGACACAAAGGTAGAAAAAGGTGAGGTGAGTACTGTGTAATTATTCGAATATGAAATGCAGTGGGGTCTGGGTAGTTTGAAGTCAGAAGTCAACTGCCGAATAATAGACTTTTTTGCCGTATGAGTATACGTTGCCCAGGGTGCACCACGTGGAGGTAAGTCTGTCGCACACCCCTTTTTCACAAATAGTAGGCCTAAAAATGCAATCAATGAACATTCATTGTAAGAATTTCTTTGAATTACATAGTTAATCCCACTTTCCATTTCTAAGGTCATTAAACTCTATGAACTGTCTCGAATAATGTAAATCAGGATTATCGACAGTGGTTCCTCAGTAGACAATCATACAAAAAAACTTACCAAAATATGATCTACACATTTTTCCTAAAGGTTCATTTAAAACTATCATTGCAATTTACTTTTAAAGGTTTCCCGGACGTCTTGACGTTTTAACATTCTGTTGTCCTCTAGACTCTCCAATTCAAAATACAAATTAGTTAGTTTTACTAGACGTCATGATTAAAAACTCAATACAAGTGGAAGGAAAATAAAGTCCGGATTTTGTAGGCCGAGAGAAGATTTTATGAACTTTAAATATCAAAACGCACTGACTTACAATTGGAAATATGCCGCATGATTTAAAATAGTCTTTACAATCTAACAAAGGAACTGATAATGAATTAAAAAAATGAAGAGTAATTTGCCTAATTAATAAATGTATATTTATCCTTGTTCTAATTGCATTTAAATTCTTTTATTATTTCCATTATGAATTATTTAGTCCAAATTGTAAAATTATCAAAAATGCTAACAGCAAAATTAGCTTAAAGCTGAAATACAACTTCCATTTTTGGACAATAAGTGAGGACAAATAAATCAAAGATTCAGAACGCTAACAATACAATTAGTTGCGAATTTTACGAATTAGTTAATAAAAATGTCATAAATTAAGATGGTTTTTATTTATGAATATACAGCATTTGACACGGACTTTTATTTTCACTTATCTTGTCCAAACTCAGCTCATTCGGACTACGGCCACTTTAAGCGAAGGCTGACATTCCTCCATGCCGTCGCTTTCACCCCATGCTAACTGTTTCCAGATGGAATTAAACCCC